TTTTTTTTTTTTTTTTTTTTCAAAACTCGTCAGACTCGAGACAAATTTATTGTTGTTATTGTTGTTGTTATAGATATTTGTTGGAAAGAAGATAAAAATCATGAGAAAAAGAGGGAGGGGGAAGAAAAGAACATTTCATTCAGGGCAGAGTTGGACAAGTTGGAAAAAATAATTTAAAAATTTCGAATAAAATTACTTTAAATGATTATTTAATTAAAATGCTCGAACAACATTCATTCGTAGCTATTATAGTTGGTTTTTGCATAATCTCAGCCGTTATATGCAATTATTATTATGCGAACGATAAATTATTCAAGTAACTTTATTCTTAAGTTTAAACTATTAAATTTTCCCCATCTGTAACTGTCCGTATTTAAACCTCGATGTATTAGCACAGGCATCCAGAGCATTCTAACGTGTAGATATCATATAAAAATTTTTTTATTTTCTCATAATATGCGTAACATGATTCATAACGATAATTTATGTAAATATAATTTTGCATTCCAGTAATTAAGGTAAAAATTGTACGTATACTATAGATAGTTTCGAAAATATTTCTTCTTAGATTATTATCCTTAACGTATTAAAATACTCGAATATTTATTCGTAGCTATTATAATCGATCCGCTTTTCCACAGCCGTTATTTGCAATTATTATTATACGAACGGTAAATTATTGAAGTAACTTTATTCGTAACTACTTTAACTTCAACTAAATTTTTAAATTTTCCCTGCCTATAATCACCTCTATAATTTAAACTTTGAATAGAATTCAGAATTATTCTAACGTATCGATAATATAAAAATTTTTAAAAAAAGAAAAAAATCGAAATTCTGCTGGAAAAGTAGAAAAAAATCTGTTTCCATTTTGCTCGATAATAAAAGAATATTGATCACGAAAAGTTTGTGAAAAATTCTTTATAATATCTAAATATAATTTAACAAGTTGAGAATGATTATATTTCTTCGTTATTAAATTTATGTTATTATGTTATGTTATTAAATTTCAGTCTTTATAGATATATCATAACATGTATACGCTAATTATAATTCGTGACGATAATTTAATTTATAAATGTAATTTCGTACTCGAATAAATTACTACTAGATAGTTTCGAAAATATTTCAGCACCCAGTAATTATCCTTAATACGTAACTTCGTAAACAAAAATAATTTTTACCATTTCGAAATATTCAAGTTATAGCTTTTTTATTGCTATATAGTGTAAATAAAAGGTTTAAAGTGGAGACAGAAATCCTAGCAAAGATAGTTATTACAATATTCATCCATTTGGCACTAAATTATTATGTTTTGAATAATAAATTAACTTTATCCAAGTAACTTTACTTTAACTATTAAATTTTCCCCATTGCTGTCTGTAAATCTAATTGCATTAACATATAAAAATTTTTTTATTTTCTTATAATAAACTAATTATGATTTGTAAAAAAAGTTTAATTTATATAAATGTAATTTCGTAGTAGTTAAGATAATAATTGTACATATATTATAGATATATACTTTTCGAAAATATTTCAACTTAGATGATTACTCTTAACGCGAATTCATAAATAATTTTTACGATTTCGAAATATATGAAATTATAGCTTGTTTACTTCTATGTAATGTCAACAAAGTGGAGACAGGCGGTCCTAAGCGAAGGACATCAACTTGTTGAGAAAAAAATAACCGGTTAAAAATTTCGAATAAAATTAGTTTTTAAATAATTACTTATTAAAATCCTCGAATAACATTTATTAGTAGTCGATCCTCTTTATATATATAAAAGCTCGATCATTCGCCGTTAAAATTATTCGCGCGATTATTTATTATCCTTTCGAACGATAA